TGTGTGTGGTGTATGTGTGGTGTGTGTGTGGTGTGTGTGTGTGTGCATATGTGTGTGTGTGTGTGTGTGTGTGTGTGTGTGTGTGTGTGTGTGGAGTGGGGGAGACACAGGGACAGACACACCCTTGCTACTTGTGGCCTGGATCTCCTTTCATTCCGTGAGCACAGCCTTGCCAAATTATAGTAGCCTGTGAGAAACGACTTCTCAACCAGCGAGCCGAGCCTAGAAGGCAGAATACACACATCCCATCCCCAGTGTCTAGCTGGTCATTTTAAAAAGAGGAAAAAAGCTGGGTGGAGGTGGCACATGCTTTTAATCCCAGTGCTCAGAAGGCAGAGACAGGCAGATCTCTGTGTGAGTTCGAGGCCAGCCCTGACGCAACGTGAGTTCCAGAACAGCCAGAGCTGTTACATAGAGAAACCCTATCTCAAAAGCAAAAAACAAAACAACAATAAAAAAAGAGAAAAGAGGGGCTAGAGAGATGGCCCAGTCAGTAAATTACTCACCACGTAAGCGTGAGGACCTGTGTTTTAATCCCCAGCACCCACATTAAAAACTGGGCATGGTGGAGACAGGTGGATCTCAGAGCTTGCTGGCCAGCCACTACAGCTAATTGGAGAGCTCCGGGTTCATTGACAGACAGTGTTCATCTCAAAACACAAGCGGGAGAGTAATAGAGCAAGACACTCAGTGTCCACCTCTGGCCTCCACATGCTTGGGAACACATGTACATGCACACCCGGGTATGCACACGCACACACCCGAGAGCGTGAGAGTGAGAAAATCAGACAGACAGACAGACAGACAAGCATCTCTTGTGTTTTATTTTACATCACAGACTTCTTATCCCTTTACAGCCCCAAGTGCTCAGGCGTGCACAAAGCTGCCTTTGTTCTCCTCAGCACCTCAAGCCAGGCTTTCCTGAAGCTCCAGTCTTCCTTGCTCACTGGGTCCCCTCTTCTTGTCCTCACTGTGCCCAGGTTTCTGCACTGAGGCGCTTGGCGAAGCCCATGTCGGAGCGAGTGGCCGGACGTGTAGGATCGAAGCCCCCCAATTTGGATTCTGGGGCTGAGGTGTCCGCCAGTACGACCTCGTCTGAGGCTGAATCGGGAGCTCGCTCTGTCTCCAGCATAGTGCGTCAGTGGAACCGAAAGATCAACCACTTCCTGGGGGACCACCCTGCAGCCACTGTCAATGGCACCCGCCCAGCCAGGTGAGGGGTGCGAGCCGTGCCTGTCGGCAGGAGATCCGGCAAGTGCTCTGGTGCCTGGGCCGTCAGCTTCCGCCTCTGTGGGGGAAGCTCAGGAGAGCCTCCGAGGTCCAGAGCAGTCCGCCAAGGCCCCTTTGCCTCTGCTCTCCCAGGAGAAAGTTCCAGAAGAAGGGGGCCAGCCAAAGCTTCAGTAAGGCCGCTAGACTCAAGTGGCAGTCCCTGGAGCGGAGGATCATCGACATTGTCATGCAGAGGATGACCATTGTCAACCTGGAGGCTGACATGGAGCGCCTCATAAAGGTGGGACCTCCCTCCTCATCTCTCCCACCCCACTTTCCTACTTCTCTGGCTCTTTGCTCTTCCCCCTGTCTCCAACTCTGCTCCTCATGCCTGTTCTGACCTCCAGATGATCCCAGGCAGGTGGGTGGCTTGGTGTAGGGGCAGGGCTTGCCTAGGTGTGAGATGCTTTCTCCATCACTGTCCTCCCCCAAATTCCACCCCCCCCCCAGAAAAGGGAGGAGCTCTTCCTCCTGCAGGAGGCGCTTCGGCGGAAGCGGGAGCGTCTGCAGGCTGAGAGCCCCGAGGAGGAGAAGGGACTCCAGGAGCTGGCTGAGGAGATCGAAGTGTTGGCCGCCAATATTGACTACATCAATGACAGCATCACTGACTGCCAGGCCACCATCGTGCAGCTGGAGGAGACCAAGGTACCCACGGGACCCAGCTGGGTGGGGCGGTCGCCGTGAGTGGGCTTGGCAGCCCTGTGTGACGGGGTGTCTGCTTTTTTTGGTCTCCCAAAGGAGGAGCTGGACTCCACAGATACGTCAGTGGTCATTAGCTCCTGCTCTCTAGCTGAAGCCCGCCTACTGCTAGACAACTTCCTTAAGGCGTCCATTGACAAGGTGAGCTGGCAGCTCCCCTGCGGCTGGGCGGGCGTCACATGCCCTGGTGGTGAAGCCCACGGCTTTGGCTCCTTCCCACCTGCGTCATTCACAGGCTGGGACAAGCTACCGAACCTGCAAGTTCGGGTTCTGCGGCTATAAAACCGGGGCCTTGACAATACAGAGCTTGTAGCTGGTTGTACAGAGTGCCGCACGTAGGGGCCTTGGCACACTACACAGCTTCAGTTAAAGGTGGCCAGGCCCATCCACAGCAGGACTGGGCTCGGGTCTGTTGGAGGCAGAGGGAGAAGTGTGTGTGCCTTAGGGATTGGGGAGCAGGGAACAAAAATTACATTTCACCCGCTCCACCCTCACCCCTGCCTACCAGGGCGCCAGGAGTCATCGGGCCCCTCTCCTTCATCCTTGGCCAGAGAATGTGTTTCTTCCTCTGGCCTAGGGACAAGTCTTGGGGACAGACACCAGCTAGTGTGCATAGAGTTAACTGGAAAGAGGTTGGGAGGCCATCCTGCCCAACTCTTAGACTGACCCTCAGTGGCTCTCCAGTTGCTTTTGTTTTAAGGGACTGTGTTCATGTGCTGGGGGTGCCATGACGAAATGTCACAGCCTGGGGCTGGTGCAGCAGGGAAATCCTAAGTCTAGGATCCCAGTGTCAGCTGGATGGTTTTTCCGAAGCCTCGCTCCATGGCCATTCTTTCTTCCCATGTCTTCACGTGATCTTTCCTCTGTGTGGCTTGTCATGATCTATTATTGTAAGGACACCAGTCATACTGTATTAGGGGCCACCCCTATGGCCTCATATTATCCCGTTTCCCACTCCCTAGGACCTGTCTCTAAGTACAGTCATATTTTAAGGTAACAGGGGTTGGGACTTCTATGTTGAAAGTCCACCCATGACAGAGCATATGCTAGAGTGAACTTCACTACTGTGTGTGTGTGTGTGTGTGTCTGTGTGTCTGTGTGTGTCTGTGTATGTCTATGTCTCTGTGTGTGTGTCTATGTCTATGTATGTTTCTGTGTGTGTGTTTGTGTGTGTCTATGTCTATGTATGTTTCTGTGTGTGTGTCTGTGTGTGTCTATGTCTCTGTGTGTGTCTGTGTGTGTGTGTCTATGTCTGTGTCTGTGTTGTGAGTCTGTGTGTGTGTCTGTGTGTCTACGTCTGTATATGTCTCTGTGTGTGTGTGTGTGTGTGTGTGTCTATGTCTCTGTGTGTGTATGTGTGTCTGTGTGTCTGTGTGTAGGTGCCTAGCAGCTACAGCATCAAGCACAGGCCAGGAAGAGTGAGCCCAGGCCTTGTTCTTTGCCCCCAGGGACTCCAGGTAGCCCAGAAGGAAGCCCAGATCCGGCTGCTGGAAGGACGGCTGAGACAAACAGACATGACAGGCGCTTCCCAGAACCACCTTCTCCTAGATGCTTTGCGTGAGAAGGCCGAGGCACACCCTGAGCTGCAGGCCCTCCTCTATAATGTGCAGCAGGGTATGCTTTGGTGTGGGGAAGGCTTTCCAGCTCCCCAAATTCCCCTGCCTCAGAATTCCCTCAGAAGCCTTGTGATCCTAGTGGGTGAGATGCTGGAGAAGGGCTGTGTCCCTTTTCCACATACTCCGACAGGGTCTCTCAGCCACCTTCTCCCTTCCTTCCCCCACTCCCTCAGAGAATGGCTATGTGAGCACAGATGAGGAAGTCTCCGAGTTCTCTGAGGGAAGGTGAGTTTTCAAGCAGGAAGTCAGCGGTGCCTCACAGCATGCACCTGGGGATGGAGGAGGGGTTGCCGCAGGGCCCCAGAACTAAGCTGGGTTTTCAGGCTTTTGGGGACCCATATTTCTAAGTCCTAGAGAGACTTAGAGAGTTACCGTATAACTATCACGGTCCTAAACTTTCCTGCTTTCTCCGTCAGCTTTTCCCAGTCATTCACCATGAAAGGCTCCACCAGCCACGATGACTTCAAGTTCAAGGTAAGCCCTGCTGGGAATCAGGCTGTAGGTTTAGTAGGGCCAGCCTCTCCCAGCCTGATCCCTATGAGTGTAGGTCCATGTCTCCAGCCCCAATTCAGTTTTGTCCACAGAAGAAATGGAGATGCCAAGAAGGATCTCCTGGCACTGGGGGTGGGTGTGGGTGGGAGACTAACCTAGAATTTGCTATGTAGACCAGGCAGCCCATTCTCCTCAAGACAGGAGAAATGCCCAGAGTCCCTAGGAGCCTATTTCTACTCTACCTAGTGACATCACTGCATCCAGAGACCCTGCGTTACAGAACACCACCCCCCTCGCCCAAGACTCTAGGTCAAAGCTGACTCTACTAGAGCCCTAGTTCTTTTTCCTGGGATGATTTGTTCAACCGCATTGAAGTCCACAGTAGGAAAGTTTTCTCAACAGTGAGGGATTAGTGACGAACCAGCCCTGAAGACTCATTAAGTCAGATGTGGGAAGACTGTGAGCCATGAGTTCTGCCTAGTCCTGGAGCGATCTGGTTAGATCAGTCTGGATGGACGCTCTGTGGTCTGCATGGTAAAGGGCTTCTTTCATCGGCAACTCCCTCAGGCCAGGCAGATCATTTCCCTCAGGATTTACCCACGTCTTCCATACTGGAGCTTGGACCCACACTGAGCTAGCTCCTCCTCCTCCTCCTCCTCCTCCTCCTCCTCCTCCTCCTCCTCTTCTCTCTCTCTCTCTCTCTGTCTGAGTTAGAATCTCAGCCTCCCATGTACCTGGGATAGCAGGTCTGTGCCATCAGGCTCAGTTCTTTCTTTACCTCTGTGGTCCATCAGTTGGACAAATTGGTCCCGCTCATCCTTCCTTTCCTAGGGTGAGCCTAAGCTATCTGCCCAAATGAAGGCTGTGTCTGCGGAATGCCTGGGACCCCCATTGGACAGCTCCACCAAGAACATCACCAAGTCCCTGGCCTCCCTCGTTGAGATCAAAGAGGATGGAGTGGGCTTCTCCATCCGGGACCCCTATTACCGGGACAAGGTCTCCCGGACCGTCAGCCTGCCCACCCGGGGCAGCACTTTGTAAGGAGGGGGATCTGGGTACGTGGGTCAAGGTGGGCAGAAAGTTAGGTCTCAGATTCACTGGACCCTTCTTCTCTAGCCCTCGGCAGTCTCGTGGTGGCACAGACACATCCCCTCTGACCCGAAGAAAGTCTTATGACCGGGGGCAGCCAATCAGGTGAGAGCATGTTCTAGAATCTATTCAAGTCACTGTCCAGTCCCTGGGTGCCTGCCTGGCTCTGAGATTCTTCTCTGGATTATCATACACACTTGCTAACACAGCCCTTTATGGCCCCATGGTCTTATACTTACTCTGAAGAGGTGGGGTGGGCTTCACAGCTAAATAGTGAGGTGTCTGTGCTCAGAGTGATCATTGCAGCCTGTGAGAGGCAGGGGAAAAACTTGCTCCAGACTCCAGCCTTCCCTCTTCACCAAAGCAGATGCCCCCAGCACCGGCTTGCAGGTGGTCTTGGTGGAGCGGAGTTGGAAGGACGTCTGTGTACTTGTAGCCTAACAGACTTCATCTGTGGACTCAGAGAACACCCTGAAATTGTGGTCTGCGGATCAAGCTGAACTCAAGATGCCGATCCAAAGGGAGGGGAATGTCAAGACAGCTTTCCCAAGAGGGGAATGAGCAGGCCATCAAAGTCATAGACTTTCCTTTGAAGACACTGTCAGATCTCATGGTTCACAGTTCAGCTCCTTGAAGTTGTTCTGAACACCGAATCAGAGACTCAGAGCTGGAACTGCTCTTAGGGTAGATGGAGGGCGAGGCTCCTGCGAGGAGCTGATCACGTTTTCAATGATATCTGCATCACCTTGTTTAAATAAAGACACTGTATACCATTGACTGACAGTATTGAGTTCAACCAGGGCACTGTAACTCAGGCCCCAATGAAGCTTGTCTAATCTTCCTCAGCTTTCTAATGCTTGGCAATATCAGAGAGGATTGTTGCTGTACGCTCTTGGACTGTTTCAGAAATGGGCATGGTAGCCGACACTTGTAATCTTAGCACCCAGAAAGTAGAGGCAGAGGCCAGTTAAAGCCTCTGAGATTCTTCTCTGGATTATCATACACACTTGCAAAGGCAAGACCACCCTGGTCTATATAGTTTGTTCCAGGCCAGACAGGGCTACATAGTGAGATCATGTGTCAAAACAAACAAATAAAAACCCTCACTAAGAAACACAAAAATGAAATAATAAATAAAGGCCGTAACTAGAACATCAACAGGACACTTGTTTCCAGAATCAGAGTGGAGACAGCCTCAGCTAGAAGCACACACACATTTGAGTTTGATGTAAGTCTGAGAATCACACAGAAAATGACCAGGAGCACTGATTGTGGGATTACAAACAAATTTCAAAGAGTAGGCGAAACTCATGAGAACAGCATCTAGGGGCGGGAGAGATGATGGCGCAGTGGTTAAGAGCACTGGCTGTTCTTCCAGAGGACCTGGGTTCGACTCCAAACTCCCACAGGGGCTCACAACCACCAGTCACTCTGGGTCTAGAGTGTTTGATACCTTCTTCTGGCCTTGCCCTGTACACTGATATAAACGCAGGCAGAGCACCCACAAAAATGAAATAAATATTTAAAAAACCTTATCATTGGAAGCCTCACACTGGGTGGACTTGTGGATAGGGTGTGGTCACGGATGATGACTCTGTTCTCATTTCCCAGATCCACAGACATGGGATTCACACCTCCATCATCACCTCCCACTCGGCCCCGCAATGACCGCAACGTCTTCTCTCGTCTCACCAGCAATCAGAGCCAGGGGTCAGCACTGGACAAGTAAGAGCAGGCCTGAGGAGAGCCCAGGAGGGCGTCCAGGCTGGGAGGGAGCCTGTGGGGGCGGGTCAACTGGGTAGACTCCAGCCGGTCTGTTCCAGTTCCTCTGAGCCATGAGGCTCTTGAGATACTCTTCATCTTTTCTGTACTGACCGAGGAAAGGTCTCTCCTTTCCCCCAAGCATGCTGGGGTGCCAGGAAAGGAAAAGGTGGACGTCACCTCACTAGAGTGGGACAGTCAGGAGTGGTGGCCGCGGGGGCAGGCACACCAGAGGGTACTCTAGAGCGCCCCTTTCATCCGCGTCTGCTGTCTTGACTGCTCTTAAGCTCCAACTACTGTTCTGCCTGATTGCAAAAGCTTTTCCCAAGGCCCCAGGAATCCTTGAGCATTGCCGAGTGGACAGAGACCTCTGAGTCATCTCCACGTGGCAGGCTCAGCTCCCTGTGTTCACAGCTCCTGATGTGATGCTGTAGTTGCTATGGGGTCAGTCTCTTCACAGTCGTCCCTGTATTCAGAAGGTGCTCAGCCTTGCTTCCCAGCCTGCTGTATGTGCATGATTCCATGCGAACTGTCAATCAGCCCAAGAATTGTCTGTCTTCCCTGATTTGCATAAGAATGGTCCAAAGCAGAGCCCAGGGGCTTTTTTGCCTGGAAAGTGGTCCAGAATCTGGGACCGCTGTCTCTAGCTAACCGTGACAACGGGACTTTGCTTGGGGAGGACCTCATCGTTCCTGGCTTCATTTTGGTGTTCCCCAAGCCCACTGTGACCATCTTCAGTTCTATAGTTACCCAAAGGGCTCCTTTCTTTCCCCCTGAAAGCTTTCCTGCCGTGAGGAGCAAGGATGCTGTGACCTTCAAGGGAGCCCTAGGTTGTAGACCACTTGTCCTTTGTTCATGACACATGCTCTGCCCACCCTCTCATAGAAACACCCCCTTCTGGCTCAAAACGCTGCTCCCTAGATGCTAAAACCGTGAGGGGCAGACCCAGCAGGTCAGCATCCTGGGTACTGTTCTTCCCGAAGCTTACGTCATCTCAGTTCCTACTAAAGCTGTAGAAGGTCTGCCGCCCCCATCCTGATACACCTCTCCCCAGTGTCTACAATTGACTTATTATTATTTATCTACTTATTTCGTTTTAGAAACGGGGTCTTGACATGTATCTAGACTAGTCTCAAACCCTTAGCCTTCTGCTTTATTCTCCTAAGTGCCAGGATTACAGGCATGCGCCCATACATCCATCTTAAACTCGTCCTACCCCCCCCACCCCCACCAACTGGGGTCGGACTCTGCCCATCCTGGCCTGGTCTACAGGCTCGGGTCCTATCCAGTGGTCCATTCTTGGGATCCACATGCAGCACAGCGTTAACTTTCTAGACATGGTCTCAGGAAAGGAAGGAGCAGTGGGGCCTTCCTGTGTCCTTGGACAGGCTTGCGCATTGCCGGGCTGGTACAGCCGGCCCCAGCTTACGCAGTGGGCCAACCAGAGAGCTTGGAACTAGCGAAGAGAGCCCGGGAACCATCTCCCCAAGAGTGGGCTGGCCTCCCACACCTCCTGTGGCCCTCTCCTCACCCCCACCCTGCTAGCTGAGAGACCCCCTGGTGGCCCCGCTGCTGGGGGACTCTCCCAGCTCCCAGGCCGGTCTGTCCCCACCCCAACCCCACCGCTCTCCTCGAAGGCCCTCTTCCGCTGCCTCTCTCTGCCTTCCCTGAAGAGAATAACCGCCCTCTGACCCCCCCCCATGCTGCTGCTGCTGTTGCCGCCTCCACCGCCCCGTGTGTGTTTTCCTCTCTCCCCTAATCCAGCTAATTTTCTGCCCTTCCCAGGTCTGATGACAGCGACTCCTCTTTGTCCGAGGTCCTGAGGTACACACCGAATGTCTCTCGTGTTTGGTTCCCCTTCTCGCTCGCTCTCTCTCTTCTTTTTCTCTTGGCCTCACGCTACACCAGTCCCTCCTGCCTGTACCCCTGTCCTCCGCATGCAGCCTCTCCTCTCCTAGCCCCCGCCCCTCCACATCCATGGCCCTCCTGAGACTTCTTCTTGCCCCGTGGTTCCTTCCTCTCATGGTGACCCCATGGCCTCAGACTATGCCATGCCTGGCTCGAGCTAAGGGCTTGTGATGGGGGAGGGGGGCAGTCGCTTCTGGCTAGCCTCGTTCTCTTCTCCCGTCCTGCCCTGGGCAAGGTGGGGAGGGACGTGCAAGCCTGGGTTGGACTGGAGTTGGAACAGGGCTTTGCTGAGCAAGAGGTACCCTGGGGGACCTTGTCAGCCCCGCTAGTCTTTCCTTGAGTGCCGTTGGCTATGGGGGCTGTTTGCAGTTCTTGTAACTTAGCTCCTGTTGGTGGGGTGAGTCTTGCAACGTTCCGCTCTGAGGGGCACCAAGGGAGGCAGAGCACCGCTTGTATCTCTTAGCACACGGGCTGTCTGTTCCCCTTCACAAGCCCACAGGACAGCCAGATGCTGCTCCCTCAGGCCTACTGAGCACAGATCCCCACAGCAAGGGGGAAGACTTAGGACCCTGGCAGCAGAAGGCTCTCTTGTAAGGCCAAGAGCTCCCTCTAGCTCTCCAGGCATGCTCTCGGCTTACCATAGTCTGCCATACCGTGGTTAGCACCACTGGTTTATCCTCGGCAGTGAGGCCTTGCCAATAGATGTTACCAGTAATACGCCAGTCTCTTTAGAGCGCCGACCCCTTTTGATACATTGTCATGGCGATCCTGGCCCTAACTCAGCCCAAAGCCGCATCACAAGCTGGGAGCAAAAGCAGGGAGCTATTTATGCATGGGCTTATCTGGCATGTGGGCATGAATGACTTGGGTCCTGGTGTTGCTCCTGGCCAAGGCAACTCTGCAGGACCATGCACGAGTGCTACAAGAGGATGTCAATCATTTCAGTAAACCCCGCCCCGCCCCCCCCGCCCCCCCCAGCCATTGTGCCACTGTGTGGGACAGCATTCTCTTTGGAAGAGCTAGAATGTGCTTTTTGATGTAGCCTAGCTGGGTCTCATCCCTGAAGACCTTCCCGAGAAAGGAAAAAAAACCATCCTCAGAACCCCAAGAGGTAGACATAGCAATACCCTTACGCTACTTGGCTCGGCCTTATTCCTGCTCCCGGAACATTGTGCGGAACAAGCAGGTACCGTTCCAGGTCCAGGCAGGTCCAGGCAGGCTCGCTCCAGAGAGGCCCATGAATCCCAGCCCCCGGCTGGGCTGCAGTCCCCTGCCTGATCCGTGCCTGTGGAGTTTTTAGGGGATGGTGTTTTTTTTGTTGGCTGGTTTGCTTGTGTTTGACAGGTTTTTCTATGTGTGCTAGGCTGGCCTTGAGCTCCTAGTATAGACCAGTCTGGCCTCCAATTCACAGCAATCCTCCTGCTTGAGCTTCCCAAGTGCTGGGATGACAGGTCTGTGCCCAGCCCTGATTTATCCCTTTGCAAATGACAGACACAGGTCTGACCATGCTGGTCCAACTCAAGGCGCTGTGTAGGTGTCTGTCTGCCCCCCTGCTGGAAGGTGCCAGCCCTAGAACACTGACTAGCAAATGACGTGTGGGGAGGGTGACAGCCTGGACACCCTTCCTCTCTCCTGCCTTCTCCCCATTTTTTTTTTCCGAAGAAGCATGGAGACTGCTGGGAGCCGCAGAGGCCAGTGCTAGCACTTAGGCCTCTGCCCTGCCCCTCCAGGGCCGGCTGCATGCCTGTCTCTGTCTCCAGGTTAGGTAGCCTCCCCATCCCGTTCCCTCCAGCATGCCTGGCATGGGCTTCTCCGGCAGGGCTAAGGATGGGAAGCGCAGCTCTTTCTGGCTCCCAGACACCGTGGTGGAGTTTTGCTAGCAGTCCGGGAATCTCTGGTTATTCATCATCGTCCCCTCTCAGCCCAGATCCCCTCTCTCCCGTGTGCCTCAGTCAGCCTGGCCACGGTCTCCTTGGCTGACTGGCACATCCTCTTTCCCTCTCTCCCGGGAAGGGGCATCATCACCCCCATTGGCGGCGCCAAGGGAGCGCGGACGGCCCCTCTGCAGTGTGTCTCCATGGCCGAGGGCCACACCAAGCCTATCCTCTGTCTGGATGCCACCGATGAGTTGCTCTTCACGGGGTCCAAAGGTGCGTGGAGACTTGAGGGGCCAGTGGGGTTAGGTTCTCTCACCCACTCCACGTTGCTTTTCCAGAGTGGGCTGTGAAGGCAACAGCATACAGAGCCCCCCTCCCCCTCCCCAATCCCCACCCCTAATAGTTGAGGCTATGTGGAGAACTTCCTTACCACTCCTGCCTTTAGCCTCCACTCAAGGCTCTCAGTCAACACACTCTGGCTGAGCCTTCCCTCCCCCATGATCCTGCGGGCTCTGCCATGACCTGCCTCCTCCAGACCACCTTTAGACACTTTGGGAAGCTTCTCTGAAGCCCTACAGTTCTGCTCTGTTCTTTTAATACCAACACTTCCTCCCCACGTCGTCTCTGCTCCTGCGTCCGTCAGTTCCTCTGTGAGGTCTCAGCAGCAGGAGTTCACAGTCCGACTACTAATCACCACAAAAAAGTTGAAGACCTGACCAGAAGAAAGAACGAATCTGTAGCATGCATGCATAATAGGGACCTGTGCGTGCACATATGAACACATGTATGCATATATATGACACACACGCGTTTATACATACAGGAGAGGGGATGGATGTCAACTGAGGTGTGACGGACTGGTTCCAAGTTTTCCCATGTTTGCTTGCTACTTGATCATTTAATAAGCAGTGAATCTGTAGGAATTTTCTTTCAGCCCAGGACACCTCAGCAATGATCAGAGAACTCATTATTATTTAAAGTTCTCAGCCCCTTCTCCGTCTCCTGAGGTTTTTTGTTTGGTTTTTGTTTTTTAATGAGACTGCACATGCATGCATGCTTCTCCCTCAGACTGGAGGTTCTGAAATGTCTCTCTCCACTAAGTGTGACCTCCCACTCTCCTTTGGGGGAGCTTCCTGGCTCCTGACATCAGCTCCTCTTCATAGCCTTTTCCCTGTCTCTGGCAGACCGTAGCTGCAAGATGTGGAACCTGGTAACAGGGCAGGAGATCGCGGCTCTCAAGGGCCACCCCAACAACGTGGTTTCTATCAAATACTGCAGCCACTCCGGGCTGGTGTTCTCTGTGTCCAGCTCCTACATCAAAGTGTGGGACATCCGGGACTCGGCCAAGTGCATTAGGACCCTCACGTAAGTGTTGTGCTCCCGGCCTGCTTTATCAGACTGCATTTGAGAAAAGTGCTTCCCCACTTAGGTGCCCACACACAGTACAGTCCGATTAGGTGAGCACAGAGGTCCTTACTGGCCCATAGGGTTGCTTTGACTCCAGAGGGACAAAGTGTGGTTTGGGGGAGACGATCTCTGAACAGCAGGTTGGTGAGCCTTTGGCTTGCCTAGCTTTGTCTCAATCCTCCAAGATCTACCATTTGAGATGGACTACATATATATAGCCCTAGGAATCCAAAACACCAGCAACCTCCAAAACCAGGCCAGCCACCTGCCTCACAGATGAGCCACCCACTATGGTCCTGAGCAGGGACGCAAACTCTCCAGAAGTCAAGTTCTGTTCTTATGTGTGCATTATAAGCCACAAATTGTTTAGTTTGATACTGGAAAAGCAAACACAGGATATTTAGGGCCATGAACTTACTCTGCATGATGCAGTAGTCCACAGTCACACATTTGAACCTATAGGATGCAGACCGCCTAGAATGAGCCCCACTGTATGCGATGAGCTTGAGTGATGTGTCTGTTACAGGTTCCCCTGTTGTAGCCAAGGCTGTGGGGTGGGGTGTTGGCAATGGGGGAAGCTATGCATGTTGGGAAGGAAAGAGGTATATGGGGAAACTGCCTTCCACTTGGTTTTGCTGTGAACCTAAAGCTATTTTTTTTTATGAAGTCTGGGGGAGGGGTAGTACACATAATGAATATTATCACCTCTTTCAACGGATGGGGAAACTGAGGCTCCGAGAAGTTAAACGATTTCTACATGGACCAGGTTCAGAGCCTGCCCCTTGCCTCTTACTCAGTCTATTCAAACCTGCCCGTGCACCCCAGCAGGTCATAGAGACATGCTGGGTAGAGGGTAGCCCTCCCTTCGGTCCGGCTTCTAGGGGGAAGCTGTCCTGCCCGCATAGGGAAGGCATCCTGGAAGAGGTGGCTTTTCCGAGCCGGTCTGAGTGAAGTTGACTCATTTCCGAGCCTGGGTGGATAGACGTTTCTGACCTCTGGCTTTGCTCTTTTCTCTCTGAGTAGATCCTCGGGCCAGGTGATCTCAGGAGACGCTTGTATAGCCACGTCCACTCGTGCCATCACCAGTGCCCAGGGCGAGCATCAGATTAACCAGATGGCCCTCAGCCCTTCAGGCACCATGCTGTATGTGGCCTCTGGCAATGCTGTCCGCATCTGGGAGCTTAACAGGTCAGTGAGACGTCAGGAGAAGAGGCCCCGGGAAGGTCCGCAGGCCTCAGCATGGTGTGCCCACCCCAAAGTGGGCAGGACCTCTGCTCTGCCTCCAGTCCCCCACACTATGAGCTTGTCCGTGCCTCTGAAAGCCTTGGTCCTTGATCTTGCTTTGAAGGGGAGAAAGGCTGCCCTGTCTACTCCAGGTCAGATTCCCTTCAACCCCCTGCTCTGTCCTTGGCTCCCCTCTCGCCAACTGTCCCGGGTTGGGTCTCTCCCCACGGTAGGTTCCAGCCCATCGGCAAACTGACCGGCCACATCGGCCCAGTGATGTGCCTGACAGTCACTCAGACTTCGAACCAGCATGACCTCGTGGTGACCGGCTCCAAGGACCACTATGTGAAGGTGCGTGTGACTCCCTTGACGCTCACTGGGGTCTGACCGGAACCAGCTCTGCTCCGAGGCCTGAAAGATACCGTTCTCGCTATTTCCTCCTATCCCACCTTTACCCTCTGTTACCCGGGGAACACATAAAAATAAAACAAGGAGACTTCTGGGAATTGCTGCTGGAGAGGGCATCTCAGAGAAAGACGGGAAGATGTGTGTCGACAGGGAAGGACCTAGAATTAATTCCGTAAATGAAAAGTTAACAGCCTAAATGGGTGAGGACTTCAGGTAGAGCCTCCCCGAATGGGGTATGATGCAACAGTTAAAATGATAAACAGGGGGTAAACCCGAAATATGCAAACGCCACTCACTTGGTTTGCTCTCTGTGGATATCGTTGGACACTTTGTGTGGCCAGAAAGTGGGAAGAAGTGGTCAAAAGGGAGATGGAAGTGGGAGGGACTATGGCAATGTTCTCCCAGCAGTGCTCAAGGCCTACCCCCCCAAAACGCCCCCTCTCTGGGCTCTGCCCCTCTTCCTCTGCAGATGTTCCAGCTGGGCGACTGTGTGATGGGCACCATTGGCCCAACCCACAACTTTGAGCCCCCTCACTACGATGGTATCGAATGCCTGGCCATCCAAGGAGACATACTGTTCAGTGGTTCCAGGGACAATGGCATTAAGAAGTGGGACCTGGAACAGCAGGAACTCATTCAGGTTCGGGGAGGGGAGGGGAGGGGAGGGGCGGAATGGTCCAGGGTGAGGCCCCAGGCAGACCTTAGCAGAGCCCCTCCGAGACCTCCTGCTATCCCGGGCTGTCCTCACCCTCCTCTCCCTGCAGCCTGGGGTGATTCCACTGGGGCCCTCTGTACGCTGCTCTCCACGAAGCCCTCGCTGCCCGTTTGAGTGTGAAGTACCCCTTGTGGAGTACTTGACTTTAGCCTAGCTCTTCTGAAGGCTGAAGACTTCAGGAGTTTGAATGTGGGAACTGGGCGGAAGGACCCATCTGGGCTTTTGAGTCCCCTGGCACAGCATGGCACAGCGTAGCTCAGCCTGGCGCCTGGGAATGACGGGGTCTGCCTGCATGGTAGCTGTGGGCACCGGGAGCCAGGTAGCATCCCTTCCACCACTCGCCGGAGGGATGTGTGTGCTCCTGGGGCCTCGGGGCAGGCCTCTCCCTTCTCTACACCTCATCAGCCCCAACCCTCCCGCAGCAAATCCCCAATGCTCACAAGGACTGGGTGTGTGCCCTGGCCTTCGTTCCTGGCCGACCCATGCTGCTGAGTGCCTGCCGGGCAGGCTTCATCAAGGTCTGGAATGTGGACAACTTCACCCCCATCGGTGAGATCAAGGGCCATGACAGCCCCATCAATGCCATCTGTACCAACAGCAAGCACATCTTCACGGCCTCCAGGTGGGTGCTGGGCGGCAGGAGAGCCTCTCTGCTCCCCTCCCTCTTCCTAGAGTCAGGAGGTTGGCCGCTGGCCCGGGGCTGGGCCGCTGTCCGCACAGATCCGATTCACAGAGCAGAACCCTGCAGAGGCCTCCTCTCTGTACCCCCCCCCCCCGTTCGTCTTCACTGAGCACTGAGCACCCAAATGTCCTGGGTGCTGCACTAGGCAGGGGAGCAGGGAGCCCCTGGGCCCCGGGCCAAGACTTGCCCTCCCAGCGACCTCAGTCACCCTCTGACCCGTGCAGGAGCTAAGGCCTGCCCCTCCGGAACCTCCGCTCCTCCGGCCCCCTGTGCAGGCAGTGCCAGGCCCTCAGTCCCAGGGGGCACTACTCAGCCGGGTTTCTTCTTTTCTCTCCTTGTTCCCACCACCACGTCCCCTCTCTCCCCTCCCATCTCTTCCTACCTCTCCTCTCTGCCTCTCTACCTCCCCCCCTCCCCCCCATAGTGACTGCCGGGTAAAGCTGTGGAATTACGTCCCTGGACTCACCCCCTGCCTTCCTCGCCGAGTCCTGGCCATAAAGGGCCGCGCCACCACCATGCCCTGACCCCCCCCTCCCCAGCCCTCCCCTTTCCTCTCTCATTCTTCCCCCTCTTGCCTTTTCCTGTCTTTCTCCACCTCGATCTGAGCTGCTTCTTCACGGTATGAGATTGTTTTTCTCTTGACCTTCTTATTCTCCCGTCATGCCCTGCCTGGCCCAACAGCTCGCCCCACCAACCTGTCTTGCAAGCATGAGCAATGAATGGTACAGAACCCTAGGTAGCGAGAGCAGGGGGTGGGGGGGAGGCACTGAGGCCTGGACAGGACAAAACACCGAGAAAGCCCAGGACACCAGCCCTGCAGGGTCCCGGAGACCATGGCCTGGGCCCTCCCTTTGCTCGGTAGCTGGGTAGCGCTTCCTGGTAGTGCAGTAGGCGTGTGTGCCTTAGCCCAGCCGTAGGTGGGTGACAGGGTGGGACTCTGCCCAGCCTTTACGTCTGGGGGCCAGCCAGCTGGGCTCCCGTCCACAGCTGAGCGTCCATCCTCCCTCTGTCCTCCCCAGCGACCTGACGGTGAAGTTCTGGAGCATGCGGCGGCTACCAGCAGCCCACCCTTGAAGTCAGGACTGAGGGTGGCCAGGGCCTCAGACCCAGCGGCCTGCACAGCGTGGAAAGGAAGCTGTGGCCTGCCCTGCCCAGCCCAGCCAGGTGCACCGAGGACAGAGGGTGTGGCCCCTCTCTTGCTCTGCTTCCCCTCCCCATCCCCTCTGACCCTCCCCTGCCTCCTGAGAAAGGAGCCGGGGAGGGAATAAGCTGTGAAGCCAAAGGGTAGGACCCCCCCCCCCACCCCCGCCACACACACACACACACACACACACACACACACACACACACACCCCCACACACACACACACACTTCCTTGCCCTCCCCCCAACTGGCCACATCCTGCTGAGCAAGTCCTCCGGCCCTTCCTGTGAGCCCTCAGCCCAGGGTGACACTGTGAGGAAAGAGCAGTCCTAGCCCCCCCCCATCCCCGTCCCCCCATCCATCCTCCAGTGAGCTAGCCTCTTCCATGTCTCCTAGCCCCACCTCTGGAGCCACTGCACCTGCCTCTGAGCCCACCAAGGTAGTTCTCAGGTAACCATGGAAACCAGACGTAAGCAGCCGAGTGCTGCAGCTGACCCTAAGCCCTCTGGCCGCCAATAACCACCCCCCGTGGGGCCCAGTCATTCCTTGGGGTCCCCTTCTGCTGAGGCCTCAGTGGAGCTGCTTAAACAATTCTTCCGGGGGGCGGGGGGGAAGGTCAGCAATACTACAGTTATTTATTGGTTTTTTTTATTTTTATTTTTATGTTTTGCTGTTGCCTCCTGGAAACTGACTTGAAGTTTCTTCTCATCTTCTTCCCTCTGTTTTTGAGGGGGGGGGGTCTTCTCTTTGGCGCTCCAGCCCCCTTTCCGTCCACCCCCCTGCCTCCGCTTGGTGTGCAGAGGAAGGAAAGGCTCCCCTTTGCAGCTCTGGCCACTGCCCCGGCTCCGCCCCCACACCCCAGCTCCGCCCCCACACCCAGGCTCCGCCCCCACACCCCGGCTCCGCCCCACACCCCGGCTCCGCCCCACACCCCGGCTCCGCCCCCACACCCCGGCTCCGCCCCACACCCCGGCTCACCCTCTAGTATAGTTCAGGTCTCTAGGCCGCCTGATGCCATAGTGCCTTCCTCCATCCTGAGGCCTGGCATCATGCTGGGCAGCCTTATGCCAGCCATGCCCACAGCCCACACGTGTCTTCTTCTTATGGGCCTCGTGCCCACAGGCCCTGAGGGTCAGAGAGTCCACCCAAGACCAACAGGCCAAGACCAGGGGACCCACGCTCCCTAGAGTCCTGTGTGGTCCAACGGGGTCCTGTCCACTAGGTCGCGGGTTGGGTGAGAAAGACCAACCTAACCCCTCCCCAGCTAATTATGTTTCCGTCCCAAGGGGACAGGGAGCCTCCTCAGCTTCTTTAGTTGTTCTAGAAACAGATTTCCAAGCCTTAAAACCAGCTTGGGCCAAAGGCCCTCCCTTTTAGATTGGCAAGAGGAGGTTCACACTCTTTCCCTTGCTTCTCCCGCGGGGCTGTGGACTCAGCTGCAGGGATGAGGTGGAATCAGTGTCTGGCGCCCCCTATCGGAACAACACTGAATTTGTAAGATTAGACCTCGAGAGGGGTCAACTCCATCCCTCAGCCCTGGCTTCCTCTGCCCTTCAGCTGCTCCACACTCACTTCACTGGTCATGTGCTTCCCAGTCTCCTTCCGGAAGCTGTGAACCCCAGCTCCATTCAGAGGACACGGTGACTTTGTGGACTTTGGAGAGGTAGCATAGCGCCTCTGCACTCAGCTCTTCTCCCTCGGTGGCCCGGGACACTGGTGCCTGTCCATGTGGCCCTGGGATGGGAGGGTCCCTCCCCGCTGAGGACAGACCCTCTCTAGTCATCCCAGAGCTGTGTCTGAGGCTGAAACCAAGACGATCGTCCCGCTTATCGGTGGCCCCTGCCGGACACGGTATTCAGCCTGGGTAAGTGGATATTCACAATGATGCATCTGACAGCTAGAACCTGGACAGTCTCTCTGCCATGACCAGAAATCCTCCTTCCTCTGCTCATCCCGGGAGCGCTAAGACACGGCCTTAGCGCTCAGAAGTGACCACGTCTTCTCCTCCACCCCTCTCCACCTGAATGGGAAGCCTGGACCTTCCATCCTGTAAGAAAACCCAGAACCTATCTGCATGACTGTTTACAAACTACAGAAACACATGAGACTTATCCTGACCCCATGGTCTGGGCTGCCCCAGCCTGGGGTGCCTGTACTGTATAGCTGCAAGACCAGTTCCTGTACAAAGCGTGTGGTCTTACAGCCCCGTGAGAGGTGCTCATCGTCACTGCCCCTTCAGCCACTGCTGATGGGTCACTACCTCATGACGGGGCTGCTATGCTGTCCCAGCGAGTGTCATTGACTAAACTTGAAATCCTCTGGAGCTCTGAGCGCGTCATCGTCCCCAAGGCATTCTGCGCGGTGTCCTGGGAATGGTGGGGTCCCTGCCCACTCTTTCAGGGGTGTCCAAGGTACAGGGTCAGGGGCAGACCCCTAGCTCCCCTCACTGCACAAGCGTCCTACGCGTTGGAAGCACAGACTGGTTGTGACTGAGCACAATGGCAGGTCTCTGGGGAGACGGAATGGGCAGGCTTGGGCCCAGGAGGCTTTTCCCAAATGGGCTGAGTCTTAAGTCAGACTAGGGATGTCCATATGTGTGGCCGACTCACCCGTATACATCTGGGACTTGTCATATTCTTGTGCCCCATCCTAAGACTTGAGGCCCAGGCCATATCTGTATGCTAGGGGGCCCTCCCTAGACCCCCAGACCCCAGGCCTTTAAAAACCTGCACATAGCTGTACCCCACCATACTGAGCCTGAAAAGCCTGGACCCAGGCTCCCAACGCCCAAACTAACAACCTCCACATCCATGCTTCCGAAGCTGATCGGCTTCCACCTGGATGGAACTTGTCTACCGTCCTCACTCTCTTAGGCCTTCTCGGCACAATCCCGGGCCAGGACCCGTTCCAGTATTAACCAGTTCAGTGTTTGCTCTTCCTGAAGAGACCTGAGTCTGCAGCAGCCAGATCCCGGAAGGCTGTGCCTGGAGCAGCCTTTAGAGACCGCCAAGGAGAGCGAGAAGGCAAAGAACAAGGGGCCGACCCAGCCCAGCCCTTGATGTGGTCGGAGCACCCCCACCGGCTACTTGGAAAGGGACAGCCATGAATCTGGGAGTAGCCGCCCACCTTTGCGCCAGCTGCAGGCTTGGAACTGTCTGAGGCTGTGTGGCCCGGGCAGAGGGTAGTTTAAAGCACAAACCCATGTGGGAGGCCACCGCCTCTCGCTGGGGCGTTCTCCCGCTACCCCTTGGGGTAGTAGCATGGGCAGGAAGCTGCTGTGAAATTGGGGCATCACCCTCTCTCTGTCCAGCCCTCTCCCAGTTCCTGGAGGCTTCCCCTGGAGTCTGGGCTGGGTGCAGCCGCACACCCTTGGCGGATCCTGCTCTGTTTGTGTGGGCAGGACCTGCCCTGCAGGAGCAGTGAAGTCCTTCCCAAACCTGGGGCATCTGTCCCTTTGTCCTTTCCAACAAGAAACTGCTGTCTGTCGGCTTCCTGGGCCCAGCGCAGTGGCCGGTGACCCCGCTGAGCCTCCCTGAGCCCAGCCAGCCCCTCCTGCCTCCCAAGTCTTCACTGCTCCTTATGCGCAAGAACAGAGTGTGCAGGGGAACTTGTCTCTCTGGCATCTCTGTTCTGTCTCCTGTGCCCGCCCCCTTCATCTCCAGCTCCCAGTTGACCTCCTTGGCTTCCTCCCCTCCACCTTCAATCCCAAGGCTTTGTCAGAAAGTGGGAAGTTGGTACTGCTGAAAATCAGAGAAGACCACTGATGTCTTGCCGCCCTGTCCTGTCCTGCCCTGCCCCCAGCTCTTAAAGCCGTTGCCCCTGCCCAGGCTGGGGGTGGGGTGGGGGGTCCCTTTGGCCCCTGCGCTCTCCCGTCACATGGTAGCACAAGGTGTGTATATGTTCTGTACCTCTGCGGATGACTGTACATAGTGTATGAAAGTTATTTAAGCCTCATGCTGTACATTTCTGTTCTGGGATTGGATGTGTGTGCTCTAAGGATTTGTCATAAATAAAACCCGAATGATCATTGTCTGCAGAGGTGTGGCTAGAGGGCTGTGGACCTGTGGCTGGCGGTGCTTTCTTAGGGGTGGGAAGCTGTTTAGGGGCAGGCCTATGAGACTGGCCTTGGTGACTGGGCTCCCCGGGAGAACAATGCTCCATGGTGAGTTTACGGTTCCGTGAAGTGTGGTACCTTCTCCTCCCCACTCTCCACGTAGCCTGCAGGTACAGTCGTTCCAGAGCAGGCACTAGCATTGACTAAACACACAGTGCCGAGGTACTGTTCAGGGCTAGATCGTCCCTATCCCCTGGTAACAGGTGATGGCCTCATTGTGAAATGAGGACAGTCACGACATGGGAGTGAGTGGCTGTCATCAGGACAGGGCTGGGATTCCATCAGCCTGCGCTGTCAAAGCGCCCACCTCACTTCACTCACATGATGTGTGCCTTCTCTAGGATTTGGGGCTCCCTGTGTGTGCTGCATACAGAGAGAAGGCAGAAATGTCAATGTATCGAGAAACTCGTCTACCAAACCAGCTCTGCGGTGGTTGTGATGTTGTTACTGGGTCAGTGCTTTTCAGTCTCTGGCAAGCTGTGTTCTCCACCACCCTTTTTCATGTTTTAGGGCTGGGAATGGAACCCAGAGCCCCATGCATGCCGAGCACATGGCCTACCACTGATTTACCCTTCCAGCCCAACTGCATTCTATTTTGCCATCTCTGTCTCTGCGCACTCTGTCTGTTAAGGAGTCTGGCCCACACCTTAATGCCATCTGAGGTTAGAAGGCCCCAGGCCTTCTTCTATACAGCCAGGAAGCCAGGAGCATCTTTTGTTGCTTTGGTTCCCAAATGGAAAACCAAGTGGCTTCTGAACCCACACAAGTCCCTGCTGCTTATACCGACCCAACAAGCCAGAGTTCAGGGTGGGTGGGGAGGAATATTCGCAAAGTGGCCTCTGCTCCCCCAGCAGGAGAGTGAATGGGAGGGACCCTTAGTCACAAAGGGAGGCACAGTGGGCGGTCCTGCCCTATGTCCCCAGCCTCTTAGGCAGGCACAGAGGATCCTCCTCTGCCTTGGAGGGTGGGGTGCCTTCCTGAAGATCATTGATTTCGGCCGGCCAACTGAGCCCCACCCCATGTCGGTCTCCTGCCCCACCCCTGCCCCCCAAAGCTCATGTTTTACCTGAGACCCTCCTCTTCTGCTACTTCACAGACAGATGCAGCCCACTGTGAACTGTGGGAAGTGACAACTGAGTGTGGCCGACTGCCACTAGCTGAGCATATAGATGAACCCTGGAGGGAGGGAGGGAGGGAGGGAGGGAGGGAGGGAGGGAGCAAGCGAGGGGGCCTCAGCAGCTTCCTCCTTGGGCTGACTCCCCTCTTCATCCCCCAGGGGGTTGACAGCAACAGTTTTTCCAAATTCAGGTCAGCCTGTGGGGACATCAGTACCCTTGGTCATGCACCCAGAATGAAGAGATTCTTAAACATGGGGGACTAGAAAGGTGGCTCAGTGAATCTTAAAGGTTCTTACTAATAAAATCAAACCTGAGCCAGGTATTGGGGTGAACACTGGAAGATCAGAGAGAACAGAACAAGTCACAGCTACCTCACCTTGCCAATTCCTCAGCTGGTCTTGTTTCCTCAGACTGGAAGCTTCTGTGTCCTCATCCCAATGGCTGTCAGCTGAACTGCTGCTAGAAGCCTGAAAGCTTAACCAGCCAAATGCTTAACCAGCCAAATGCTTAACCAGCCAAATGCTTCTAGTTCCTGGTCCTCACGCCTTAGATACCTTTCTGCCTTCTACCATCACTCCCTAGGATTAAAGGCTTGCTTCCTGGGATTAAAGGCGTGAGTCACCATGCCTGGCTGTTTCCAATGTGGCCTTGAACTCACAGAGATCCAGAGGGATTTCTGTCTCTGGAATGCTAGGATTAAAGGCGTGTGCTATCACTGACTAACTAGTGGCTTTTCTGTTCTCTGACCCCAGATAAGTTTATTAAGGTACACAATATTTTGGGGAACACAATACCACCACACTCAGTGGTCCAGAACACTGGCTGTTCTTTCTAAAAGTTTACTTAAAGCTGAGTGGTGGTGGCAGCTCAGGGCTTTACTCCCAGCACTTGGGAAGCAGAGGCAGGTGGATCCCTGAGTTTGAGGCCAGCCTGGGCTACAGAGTGAGTTCTAGGACCACCAGGGCTACGTAGAGAAACCCTGTCTCAAAGAAAAAAATTGTTTTTGATTTTAATTGTGTGTGTGTGTGTGTGTGTGTGTACATGTACATGTCTGTCTTACACATGTGTATGCAGGTACCCATGCCTAGGTGCATGCACACAGAGGTCAGAAGTTGATACCAAATATCCTCTTCAATCTCAGTCCGCTTTGCTTAGTTATTTATCTGTATTTTGTTTTTTATTTCTTGAGATGGGGCTCTCACTGTGTAGTCCTGGCTAACCCAGAACTCACTATTTAGAGCAGACTGGCCTCGAACTCACAGAGCTGTGCCTGCCTCTGCCTCCCGAGTGCCACCACGCCTGGCCTCCACCTCATTTTTGAGATAGGTCTTACTGAATCGAGAGCCTTCTGATTCGGTCTGGCCAGCCAGCCAGCCAGCCTCGGGGATCCTCCGGTCTCTGCCTCCGCAGAGCTTGGGTTCCAGGTGTGCACCCCCACACTCTGCTCTCTTCTGCGGGTTCTGGGACAATGGACTCAGATCACTAGCTTGTGCTGCAGACATTAGCGACTAAGTCCCTCAGGAGAATTTGATGCCATTCATTGTCTAAGCCGGGTGGTGCCCCAGAAGACGTATTTTCCCCCAAACTCCTCATTTTATATACAAAGGGGACTGAGGCCCGGAGAGGCCAACAGAATCAGCTGAGGCCATAGTGGGACAGAAAAGGCCCTGGAATCCACTCTTTTATACCTGTATCTTGGTTTGACCAAAGTGAATGTAGCAACGTGGGGGGACACCCAGTCTTGGAGGAGGTTTTATCCCCCAAACCTGTAACCGGTTGTTTTGTTCGATTTTATTTTTAATATAAGATATACCATTTATCCTTGCTTATACAGGCACATTTGGCCTTTGGGGGCAAGGAAAGCGCTGGAAGGTGTTAGGGAGTCTTGGATATTTCCATTTATTCCCATGTATAAAGTGGTTAGCCCAGAAAGCTTCCTAGTGGTAACAGGTGGCGGCTGATGATGAGCCAGAAAATGTGAGAAAAGCCTCCTGGCTGCTGCAGAAATTAGCAGGACCTTTAACGTCGTCTTTGGCCTTGTTGGCAAGCAGGTGAGATTACAAGAAAATGCAAGAAGGATGTGAGCCTGGGGAGGACCAGCAAGGAGGAGCCACGGCAGATTCCTGAGGGCTTGTGTGCAGGAGACAGCTGGGAACCTCAAGGCATGGGCCTGCGAAGCCAGGTCCTGCTTCATAGTGGACAGGGCTCCAGCCTAGTTCAAGCGAGCTTGCCCATTGAAGGAGCTTGCGTTTGTCCTAGGAAACTAGATTGTTGTCCTGTAAGCTTTTCCCAGTGACTGAAGGTCAAGGTAATAGGAAACAGGATGGTAAGAGGACTGGGGCTCTAAGAGCCACTGACGACCCTGTATAGACCCAGAACACCCCAAGAACTCACTGTCAGGCAGGCATCTGTAAGACTGAATCCAACAGGGGCATGAGAAAGAGCAAGCACTGATCTAATCCCTTTAGTATGTCAGGGGAAGGATACTTCTGGGTTGTGGTTTGGGTGGTGCCCAGGGGCAGTCATAATACTGCTTTTATAGAGTGGTTCTACCTACAGAGTTAACCACACTCTCTGGGAGCTCACACACGCACACACAGAAAGAAAAAAAATCAACCACTTTCCTGCTTCAACTAGCCAGGGAGAACACTGTTATTTATCAGCAAGAACGCTGCCCAGCCACCAGGAGAGTTCGAAAGCAGCCTGGACTATGTAGCAAGGCAGTATCTGAAATAAAATAAAGACTGACTACGGCAACACACACCCATAATCCCAGCGTTCAGGAGGCAGAGGCAGGAGAATATGAGCTTGAGGCCAGCCAGCCTGGGCACATGGCAAGACCCTGTATAAAACCAAACCCAACAGCTGCTGGGACAAGTGAATTCTAGATACTTCACATGTCTAACACCCAGGCTGTAATTCAAGTTAGTTCAAAGAGAACTGCTTACTGTGACTAACGGGGACTATGGGGGTCCAGCCCCTTGACAGTCCTCTCCCAGGGTCCGGGAAGAATCTACACCCAGCTGATAATCTAATCTTTGATGATATGAAATGAATCTACGTACACGAAACTCTTAGTCCATACACTTTATTCTTCTGAGTCAGTTCTCTCTCTACACAGCTTCTATTCTACTCTCATGCCTAGCTCCTTTCTACCTGTTTCCTCTCTACATTTATCTGCTGTCCCCTCGAAGTTCTATCTTAATTCTCTCATCTTAGTTCTGCCCCATATAGGTCCTCATTCATCTAGTTCTTTCCCATCTTAGCTCTTCTACCATCTCCTTCTTCCTCATCTTGTTTTACCCCATCTGGCTCCTCCTCATCTTCCATCTCATTCCTCTAGTACTCTCTTCTAGCCCTTCAATCTAGTTCTTCCCCATCTCAGTTCCTTTCTCTCCAGTTCTTACCCATCTAGTTCTTCCATTCTCTTTTCTCTTCTCCATCTAGCCCCTCTCTGAAAATAAAACTGCCCTTTTATCCCTTTGACCCTTATTTCTCCAAGCTATCTCTGCTCCTGCCGTTTCTGGCAAGTGTGCTCGGTTGCTAGGCAACTTGGCTAGGCAACTTCCATCACAGCTAGATGTACCTGTAAGTTGGAACCCTTCAGTTCTGAGTTAACTGTTAGGGATGGATATAAAACTAGAGATAAGACGTGGAAAGGGAGAAAGTTAAGCTTAATTAGCACATCTACCAGGCCTTCTCAAACAGATGTCTGGATGCTTAAGTCTGTTCTTAGAGAATCTGTGAGATATCTCAAGCAAGAAACTTTCATCCATCCAGGGATGGTCCTGGCTGGATGCTGCCAATGACAATAATTGTAGGGAGGCTTGAAATCAGGGATCCTGGCTGCGTTACTGCACAGAAGGTTATCTAAATATTCCTTAGTAGAGGGGAAATGGTGCCCAAAAAATGATGGAAAAGCTACAATAGCACATGAGAAGTTCATAGCAGGAAACGGCTAATAATCAAAAGCCAAATATCACCAAGACTCCCTGAGCCCTTCTTCCAGGTATAGCTTTGTCATAGTCAGCTGAAATCCTACTTCAGATTATTGCAAGCGTGTGACCTTAGATCATGTGGCTGAACGGGAGTGGGCACGTGGCAGCAGAGCCAGAGAAGCCAGCCTGACCCAGATGATTTCTGCATACACGGCAGCTCATGACCACAAATGGACATCCACAAAACTGCATTCTTTCCCCTTTTATTAGCAGAGTTCTACAGGGAGACGCCACTTCTAGTGCAGGACTCGGGAGGTAGCCTGCTGCCACAAGTGGGGTTGGGGGCAAGCCTTCATCTCGGACCCTCACACGCCGACTCAGCCGTCCTTCCTTCGGAACCTCCTCATGCAGAGGCAGGAGGAAGGGGTCTTAGCCGGTGTCGCCGTCTCCTTGGCTTCTAGGATGTGGAAAGTCTGTAGAGTGAGGCAGCTGACTATGGGGTCAGGGTCTTTCTGCATGCACCTGAAGGCTGTAACAGGTAACACAGGAGATGGTAGGGTGAACAGAAGGAAGGAGCCAGGAAGGCAGCAGGACCCCGTCACTGCTTGGAGGAAGAAGGAAAACTGGCAACTTTTACAACAGAAGCAAAGATTTCTTCTACAAGTCCACACTGCTCGTTAACCATCAAGACCCCGACATTGCTCCTGGCTCAGGGAGACGCAAGGCAGGCTGCTCTTTTGGTCCTCCTACTTGCCCCTCCCTACCTCTGCCCTCCCCACTCTGGTCTATAGGAAGTCCTCTGACCCTCCCCCCAGGAGAACTGCAGCCCAGGACAGAGCCACACCCAGGGCTCACTGTCTCATGAATGCAGTGTGGAAGGACCGGAGAGAGAAGGGCACCGTGTGCAGGGACATGTCTCAGGGACAGTGAGGACACAAAGGTGCCCACGCTACCACATAAGCAGTGATGAAGCTCCTGAGGGGAGCGGCTGGGGACACTGGGGTACTCCAGGGAAGAAGGTCGCTCTTTCCTAGGGAGAGTTGAAGGGACCGGCCTGGCAGACAGGTAGCCTCAACAGCAGTGAGGGTGAATGGGTGTGGGGATCAGAGGAGCTCTGACCAGTACCCCAGACCCTCGTGACTTGGAGATGGGGCTTTTGTCCTCCTGGATGATGATCTTTAGGCACCCTCCTGCCTTCATTTCCAAGCCACCCCTCTGATGCCAATACCCGTAAAAAGGTGCGAGCCGTGGACAGTGGGGCGGCCACTCACCTATGTATTCCTCCTCGGTTTCCTCTCTCTCGGCCCTGTTGAGGATGCGGATGATCTGACCTACAGGGGCACACAGGCACTCAGTGGCCTCACAAGGGTCCAGGGGGCCCTAACTGTAAGTTCCCCCGGTAAAACCCATCATCCCGTCTCTTTGTCTGTCCTTCCCACCCTTGGTGACCAGCTTAGAGCTGGACTTGCTCCAAACCGCTTCTCCAATTCTGCAAAGGAAGGACTCTAAGGAACCTGGCCAGGTGGAAATGCAGATAAACTCGGCTGCTGCAAAGATGCTGGCTGGTCCGTGAGGTGAGAGGAGGTGGTGTCTACCTAGCTAGGGACCACACACAGGTCTGATGCTCTACCCTTTGGGGGCTAGGCTGCCTTGGTTTCTTAGGAGTTGGCCGTTCTACTATAGACAGGTCATCCTTACCCCTCCGGGGACTCCCTGTGGTAGAAGGGAGCAGAGAGGGGTCCTTACCGGGGACTATAATTACCATGGGTCCTTTAATTAGAGCCTCGCATGCCCAGCCCTCAATCTGAAGAACCCAACTTCAAGGAGACGATGGCTCCAAGAAGATAGAGGGTCGAGGGGGGGGCACCCCTTTAATCCCAGCCCTTGGGAGGCAGAGGCAGGCGGATCTCTGTGAGTTCGAGGCCAGCCTGGTCTACAGAGTGAGTTCCAGGACAGGCTCACAAAGCTACACAAAGAAACCCTGTCTGGGAAAAAAAGAAGACAGAGGGTTAACATACCTGCAAACCACACAGCCACCTGGCGGATGGGGCCCTGCGGACTCTTGAAGAGAGCCACACTCTGCTTCAAAAACCAGACTGCCCTGCTCCTTTCCTGCTGCAACTGGAAGAAGCAGCATTAGATGGCACAACTAAAGTGACTCACGGCCAAGTGTCTTGCCTCTCAGACAGTCTAAATAGGAGGGCCAATGGAAATTGTCCCAACTGGAAAAAACACAAAACAACAACAACAACAACAACAACAAAAACCTTCAGAACCTCCCGGAAAGTCACTTCTTGCATCCCAGCTTCTGGAACCTCACTTCTTCCACAGAAGCCTTCCCAGACTGACCAAGCCACGGGAATGACAATGTATACAAAGCCCTTGACCTAGTGAGTCTTCAGTTCTACTGGTGTCTGGGTTTCCTTGTCCCCCATAGTCTCAGGTATTTGAATATGGGGTCCGCAATGGGGGGGGGCACTGTTGGGAGGAGCTTTAGGAGGTGTGGCCTTGTGGGAAGTGTCACTGGAGGCGGGCTTTGAAAGTTTAAAGACTTGTGCCATTTTGACTTTGCCCTCCCTGCTTGCCGTTCACGATGTGAGCCCTGGGATCCCTGCTCCTACTCCCATCCCTTCTCTTCACCGTCACGGACTCTTAACTCTCTGGAACTGAAAGCCCAAATAAACTCTTCGTGGTGTTTAATCACAGCAGTAGAAAAGGAACTAATACGCTAAGCATTAGCCCTCATCCATTCCTCCCCATGAAGATGACCAGGAAGCCCTGCTTCAAGCCGGAGCTGGGCTGAGTGCCCTGCCTTTGTATTAGAAAGCTCATTCCTCTTCCTTACCCTTCCCCCAAAGACTCCTAAATTACCAGTTCATGTGCCTAGCTCTCCAGGGTAGACAGGAAGCCTTGAGAAGGCAGGAAGCACCACTAGGTGGCTAAACACAAGGAAGACAGACTGTTGAATGAGCTATATATATATATATATATATATATATATATATATATATATATATATATATATGTATTGTTGCTGAAAACCCCAGCTGCAGGGAGGAAACTGACTGAGATGGCTTGTGTGGGGTTTTTTTGGGGTGGGGGGCTGACTCCCTTGCACAGGGAAGAATGATGAGTCAGCTGCTGGCTTACCAGGGTGCCGAGGATGGTGAATACATCTTTCTTGGCAAAGACCACTTTGAGTTTGAACCAGCCCATGATGGTAGCTAATTTGTAGAGGGCTCGCCTACAGACCTGAGGAGACAGGAGGCTCATCATGAGGGATCATGGGAATGAGGTTGGACAGTGATACAGAGGGGTCCAGGGGGGAGAGAGGCAGCAGCCCATTTTGGCCTTGGTAGATTGAACTGCGGGATCCAAGCTTGGGAGAAATGTAGAGCCTGTCCAGACATCTGGCTCTACTGATGCCCTCTTTTTCCCATGATGAAGTGTGAGTGACAGTTCTAAGATTTTTTACAGTTGCTGTGGTAGTAACACTGAGTCCCACCACAGTGTGACTCTCTACAGCACAGCCTTCGGCATCATGGATTTCCAGCCCCAAAGCAGTCCCTCTGAAAACAAATGTTGGGCTTTTGCTACGTAGCCCAGGCTAGCTTCAAACTGGCATGTTAGACTCTTGAGTACCGAGTTCACAGAAGTATACCACTTCATCCAGGTTCCTCAGTCTTGGTACCCTACCTGGGTGCTCCCTGCTTGGTCACATCACTGACATTGTGACCAAGGTTGGCTTGGTCACATCACTGAGTTCATCCAGGGACCCATCCCTTTCTGTCATGTGCTCAGCAGCATCCTTGGATGTATCTAAGATGTCTCCTGTTACAAACCAAGTCAACAGTTTCCAAGTGTCTAGCTGCAGTACGCGCTTCAGGTTTACACGCTCAGGGCTTGGCCTCTCTGTCCAGGCCTCTCTGCTGTGTCCACCATACAACCCACAACTGGAACTCTTCCGTCCTAGGAGCCCCATCTCCCCTCGTTGGTAAGGTAAGGGCAGAAAACAGTCTGGAGAAGTCCACAAGGGCCAAGGCAAGGCGACAGAGAGAGGAACCGGTACCACCACGAGACTTCCTGCATCAGAGTTCGCATGCCCACCAACTTCTATTGGAGTTGGTAGCTAGCTAGATCAAACTGGAGCTGGAGGAGAGTCAGCCCAACAGCCAGTCCACCTCTACTCATGGAACCTCTCCAACGTCCAGAGTCTGGTGGGCCCCCTCAGTGTTACACAATCCTGCCACAGCCCTGTCCGAGGGCTTACCATGCTCTGCATCAACTTCCAGTGATAACTGAATGCCAGGCTTCAGGGTCCGGCTTCTCACCTCCACCACTTCGGCGTTTACGTCCTTCAGGTGTGACACAAGGAGGACTATGAAGTTGAGAATCTGGTGCCTCATGGGGAAGACAAGGTTCATCCTCGAGATTTTAGTTAGGATGCTTCCGTAGATCTCAAAGACTATCAGGCGCAGCTGCTCTGACTCCTGGGAAAGAAGATACACCCACACTCAGGAAGACACTGTGCACTTGCGCTGGTCACCCAGGTCAGAAAGACTCTCAGCTCTGCGCCCACCAACCATGTTCCTGTGCACATCCCCCATCTACTTTGTGCAGAACACAGCTCTCCTGCACTGTGCTCAAATGCCCTCCCTGGACCATCACAAAACAAGAGCGCAGATGCAGTCGGTCTCCTAAGAACTTTAGGGAGTCAAGGAAAGGGCTTTTGAAGATTGCTCTATCCTTCTCCACTGTGTCACAGCTACCTAGGGTAAGAGAGCAACCTCTCTATCCCTTGGGGGCTTTACCTCCTCAAAGAAGTGTGCCAAAGTGAAGGTCAGCTCGACGATGAAGGAGGAGGAGTAATGCCAGGTGAGGTCCTTGAGGATGCGCTGCAGCGTCAGGAAGGTCTCCATCACCACCTCACTGCTGGAGGAGTAGCAGCAGCTCAGCACGTAGGGCTGCAGGATGTGGAAGTGCTTCATCTACAGAGTGATAGCCACTCAAAACCAGAGCCAAGAAACTGTCCCCCGCCCCCAGCATTGCCCGCCAATCCCACCCCTCACATAGACCAGTGGGCACAAGCTCTCACAATTTGCACTCTGGAAGGAGGAGTGGTCCCAACATTGGATGGTGGTCAAACTGGGTTACCAAAAGGGTACCTGGCCAGGAACCTTCTGCCCTCCATGGGCAGAGGTGAGAAGACAGAGATTTTCCATCTCCTGCACCATAAATTCCCCTCCTCCTTGTTTCCCTCACTCCTGACGATCCTGATCTCCAGAGACCTGGATGGTACATCTGGGATCCTGGGGTTGGCTGGGATACAGGATAACTTCCTGCAGGACCTTTCCTGGACAGGAGGAAGCCTGAATGGTTCAATAACTTCCTTCAGGACTTCTCCTGGATTCTGTGCTTGGACAACCAGTCTCAAGAGGACCCCTACTCTAATTCCAAGAGTGTGTCACAACTGGACACACTAGCTCTCCAGGTCCATCTATTCCTTCTCTGAGTGACATGTCCTTGGCCCCACCCATTTTCACCGTGTTTTTGTGCTTTGTGAAGGTTTCTGAGATCTGCAGGAATAGATGCTCCGTGGCTGGCTCCTCACACTTGAAACAATCTGCCAGAACCTTGGTGGAGGCTTCATCCACAGCACCTGCCACATCTGGACAGTGGAACAGCTGGCAAGAGGAAACCAAGAAGGACAGAAAGGTAGGCAAGGGATCTAGATTCTGTCTTGTTAGTAAAATAACGTTCTCAGAGCCTTGGTCGAAGCTTAAAGGACAAATTCACACCCTATCACCCATCCATGGTGCAAGTCTTCCCAGGCATCTTTGAGATGGGATGATGGGAGATAGCAATGAGAAACTTGTTCAGCCATCACAGATCCTAGGGTGGGAGCCTTTAAAGACATGATCATGGGGTAAGGAGAGTGGGAGGAGGGATGAGAGGGGGAATCTGTGGTTGCATGAAAAATTAATTAAAAATATTTTAAAAGACCGGGCGTGGTGGTGCAGGCCTTTAATCCCAGCACTTGGGAGGCAGAGGCAGGCAGGTCTCTGTGAGTTTGAGGCCAGCCTGGGCTATACAGAGTGAGTTCCAGGATAGGCGCCAATGCTACACAGAGAAACTCTGTCTCAAAAAAACAAAAACAAACAAACAAACAAATAAATAAATAAATAAATAAATAAATAAATAAATAAATAAATAAAAAGACATGACCATGAACTGCCTGGAGAATATTCCAGGGAAAGAACAACACACCGCAGGTTGAAAGTAGCTACAAAGCATCATGAATGCAAGTTTACAAAGAAGGCAGAACTTGACTGAGCTAGACTTGAAGATAAAGAGAACTTCATGAATCCTAAGTCTTTAGATTAGAAGTCAAACAATTCAATAGGATAATGGGCAAAATAGAGGGAAAGGATTCCCAGAGGACAGAGGAGTGTGTGTGCTGTGTGTGTATATGTGCGTGTGTGTGCATGTGTATGTGTATATGTCTGTGTGTGTGCATGTGTGTCTCTGTGTACGCCTGTGTCTATGTGTGCATGTCTGTGTGTGTGTGTGTGTGTATCTGTCTGTCTGTCCTCAAGGCAAAGATGTCTTCCTGTTCTTGTCAGGCCATCAAGGCAGATCTATCATTATTTACTCACTAGCTGAGCAAATATCTTAAATTCTCTGAGCCCAAGTTTTATCCTCTACGAATTAAAGTGCCTGGGCTCAGTTTCTTAAATACTCTGATTTAAATTGCACAGCCCCGTCTGTTTTAAATCCCTCTGCCTGTGACTGCCTGTGGATGGAGGGAACAGTGAGCCAGGAGGCTTTGTTTTATTTCATGTGCATTAGTGTTTTGCCTGCATGTGAGTCTATGTGAGGGTATCAGATCCCCTGGAACTGGAGTTACAGACTGTTGTGGTTGCTGGGAATTGAACCCAGGTCCTCTGGAAGAGCAGCCCATGCTCTTAACCACTGAGCCACCTCTCCAGCCCTGAACAAGGAGTTTTAAGGGACTGCAAAATGTTCCTGAGTGTTCACAGCCATGGTCTCTCACCTACAGATCTGGCCCACTTTCTTAGCTGGTACCTGAACCCCGTTGGTTCCCCACGTTCAGACTGTCAGAGTTCCCCTCCAGTTGCTGACAATGGGCTTCACCCATCTCGGTACCCAAATGCCCTACGCCACACATGCTAACTCCACAGCAGCCTGAAGCTCCAGTGAGGGTGGTGACTGATCAAGTGCTTATGTGGGTATCTACTCTGTTCAGCGGGCCATCAGCATTTGAGAAAACTTCTAGAATGTTCCTCAATACCAGCTGTGCCTAGATCACAGCCGTAATGGGAGCTTAGAGCAAACTAATTCCTGCATCCCACCCCAGGGTGGTTCTGAAGAAGAAGGCACCCAGTAGCAGAAAAATGTGGTGTGAGGCCTAGCATCTCCCAGACCAGTGGCTCTCAGCCTTCCTAATGCTGCAATCCTTAAATACAGTTCCTCACGTTGTGGTGACCCGCCCCCCTCCAACCATAAAATTTATTTATGTCGCTGCTTCATAACTGTAATTTGCTACTGTTATAAATCATAAAGTAAATATCTGATATTTGACCCCTTTGGGGGTTTGCGACCCACAGGTTGAGAACTGCTGCCCTAGAGGCTTCTAGTATGCAGCAGGGGTTCAAAACTGCTGCTCTAAGCCGGGCGGTGGTGGTACACGCCTTTAATCCCAGCACTCGGGAGGCAGAGCCAGGCGGATCTCTGTGAGTTCAAGGCCAGCCTGGGCTACCAAGTGAGTTCCAGGAAAGGCGCAAAGCTACACAGAGAAACCCTGTCTCAAAAAACCAAAAAAAAAAAAACTGCTGCTCTAGAAAAGTGGCCCTCTGGCTTGTAGGCTAGTCTCCTGTGCTGTTCCTCAAAGCCCAAAGACTACCTGCCCCACAACAGCCAGCAGAGGGCTTTTAGAAAATGAAGGCTCCTGGGCTTAGCCTAGGTCAACTGACCCCAAGCCTCTGGGGTAAGGACCCAGGACTCTGTCTTTGGAACAGCATCCTCAGTGCGGTGATTACACCAAGGCCTGAGAGCCACTGCATAAATGCACCCCCAGCTAGTCAGGCCTCGGCATCCTCCAAGAGAATCCTTAGCATGCTTAGCAAGTGCCTGCTAGCTTCTCAGAATGAAGATCACTGTGTATGTCCCAGTGTTATTGCTATTGTATTATCTTCTGTTGGCATTCAAAAGTAACCCACTTCTTCCTTTTTTTTTTTTTCTAATTAGGTAGGTTTGGATTAGTGAGATAGATGAATGGATAAAGGCGTTTGCTGTCAAGCCTGAGACCTGAGCCCAATCCCCACGTTGTGGGATGTCTTCCTGTATACTGTGAATATGTGCCGCTCCTGTTGGATAATAAATGAAGCTGTTTTGGCCTATGGCAATAAAGCTTGCAGCCAGGTGGGAAATCCAAGCAGAGAGACAGAGAGAAGGAGGACAGAAGAGGGGAGGATGCCGGCCCACTGCCGAAGGAGCAAGACGCCTGCAGACCGGTAACGCCATGGCCACGTGGCAACATATAGATTAATCGAAATGAGTTAAGTTATAAGAGCTAGCTAGCAAGACGCCTGAGCCATAGACCATATAGTTTGTAAGTAATGTAAGCCTCTGTGTATTTACTTAGGACCAAGAGGCTGTGGGGTGTGGGTGGGAGAGATTTGTCCTGACTACAGGGCTGGGCAGGACCAGAGAAACTTCCAGCTACATCCCTGGGACCCACCTGGGGGAAGGACAGAACTGACTCATGCACACTGTTTTCTGATCTCCACATGTGTGTGGTTGCATACACACACACACACACACACACACACACACACACACACACACACACACAAATGTAATAGCTTTCAAAATCAGGTAGCTTGCATTTTCAAAGAAGCTAATTTAAGACTATGGTAAGGCAGACCTCAAAAACCTACCCGAACCCTGCTGGTGGAAGCATAAAATGACACAACTTTACTGGAAAACACTTGGGCATCAGTATCGAAAGTCACAGAAGCCACTTACACGTCTGGAACTCATATTTCCACTTTTTATGGTCCATATTTAAGGCAATAATTTACAGTGTTATTTCACACAGAGGTGTTTGTTTGCAGGGTTGTTTACACTTGTGTCAAATTAGAAACGGAATACTCTCTCCATCATGGAACACATTTGTGTGAAACACGCGTCACCATTAGAGTTTTATGAAAAACATACAATGAAGGCAGAGGAGACAAGCGACGGGGGAAGAGGCTGGGCATGGTGGAGCACACCTTTAATCCTAGCACAGAAGCAAATGCATCTCTGTGAGTTTGAGGCTAGCCTGATCTACACAGAAAGTTCCAGGCCGGCCCGGGGCTACATAGTGAGACTCTGTCTCCAAAAGGGGGTGGTGTGGGAGAATCCAGAGATAGTGGAGGAGATGAATAAGAACAAAATCACAATGTTGTATAGGCATGAAAATGTCACAGTGAAACTCATTTTCTGTATACTGACTAAAAAGTTAACTTAAAAACAAAAAATGCAATGAAAAGAACAGCACACAGAATATCAGAGGATAAGTTAACCTTACACACACACACACCTTCATACAGACAAAGGCATGAAAGTAGTCCTCTTTAGCACTGTAAAAATTAATGGTTTTATAAATTTATATATATTTATTAATTTTCGACACATTTTTCCCTCTCTGATGACTGAATTATGGAGGGCCTCAGGGTGTCTAGTCAAAGCTGAAGTAACTGTAGGACAGAAAAGTAGTGCTCCACAAGGTCAGAGCAGAGTCGAAGCCTTGAGATTGGAGGATAAAGGCTTATGACTCATGGAAACCTAACGAGGAATTCTTACCCATGCTCCCCAGCCCGTTCTGTGGGCAGGGGTAAACCAGGCCACTTCTCTTCCCCAGGAACCTTCTAGAGGAGTCCCCTGGCTACACTTGCTTCCCAGGAAGTTGTCCCCACTGCCCTCTGGCCCCCTACCCTACTCACCTCCGTCAGGAACACCAGGGCTGTGAAGTGATTGACACAGGCTGGGTCCTCGAGGGTCCTGATGAGGAAGCGGAAGACAGGGCGATTGTGCCAACAGTTCTTGATGACCAGGGACCTGCGATAACAATAGGGTGCTCAAAATAAGAACATATTCTGAGCCATAGGAGAGGACCAAAGACGTAGGAGGTCCCCCACCCGGGGACTGGAGGCAGCTTACCTGGCCAGCATAGTGACTCCATAATAGTGCCTTTCAGGATTGACAAGCAGTTCCCAGCCCCTAAGTGTCTGAATATAAGACATGTGATCTAAGTACCCGGAGCTTCGCAGTAAGGTCTTCAAGGCCTTCACAGAAGAACTGAAGACAGAGCCGGAGGCAGGGAGTCAATTCCAGCCACACCCCTGACCTCCTACCCCCACGCGGGAGTCCCTCCCATCCTATGAGTTATGAACCTGGCCAGGGAATGGCTACAGACCAAGTGCATCTCACAACTGAAGCAAACAAGGGTTTGTGGGGGTCTCCCAGGTGGCACGGGAAGCCTGCAGAGGCTGGGGAAATGGAATCCGGGTCCGTGGTCCGGCAGTCTTGTTTTGATTTTATTCTAGTGCAGAAACCGCATCCACCTGGGCGACCACCTAAAAGAGTCTTTTCAAGAACGTCTAGGGAGGTGTCTTGAGTCTACACGCGGAGGATTCGGAAGGGCCAAGTTATCGAGGGTGCCAAGCTGCTGGTATGCAGATCATAGTCCCTAGCACACCGGCCCAGGGCCCAAGGTACCTCACAAGGTTCACACATTCAGTTTCGTGCGGCTTGTCCTGGCCCAGAGTGCTCCGGTTAGTCACCAGGAAAGAGATTTGGAAAAGCAGGGCCACGAACAGGGAGGCGAAGACGGTTTGCACCTCCGAGCGCTGGCTTGGCACCAGCAGCAGCTCATGGATGGCCCTGGTGACCTGGAGTGAGGAGAGCAGGAGGTCATCATCTCTACTGCCACCCATAGTTCCTGTCACCCAGGGAGGCCTGACCAGTGCCATCCCTGATGTGGCCGGCGAGTGAAGACGGAACGTAATTACGCCAGGCTGCTTCCAGAATGCCTTTATGTGCTCTTGTAACTGTGGGTTCTGCTTTAGCCTCTCAGTGTCCTTGAGCAGGCCTGAGGGGGAGGGGGTTGTCTCACCTGCCTGCACCCCCATACTCAAAACTAGAATCCGATTTTTCTGTTCAAGGCAAGTCAATTGGTTGGAAACCCTCCTTCTAACCCATCCTGGAGACTCTGCTACTGGTCCCTAGAACCCAAGCTAGCCCAGCAGAAACCCCAGTGTGGTTCCCTTCCCAGCTCCCAGCCCCTCCACCTGCCCCTCCATACAATCGATGTTGAGAGCTCTGTTTCATGGCCGGTCTCCTGGTCCTTGGGTGTCTGGGGGGAAATCAGCCTCTGCAGTAGATACTCCATGATTACTTGGTAGCTTTTTGGAAAGGAAGCCAGGATTTCCCAGGATCTGTGTGTGCCCCTGTAGAGACAGAAACCACCAGCAGTTCCAGGCAACCCATTTCCAGCTGTTCTCCAGTGCTTTCCAGAAGGGCTCTCAGCTCCTTAGCCCAGGCTAGCTCTCTGCTTTCATCCTACCCAGGCACTTCTCTCTTCATTGTTTTTACTATTTCATCACCTCCACACTTCCCTGCTCTATGTTTCATTGTATATAGACAAATAGGAAAATGTTCACTTAGCCTATGGGCCTGAAAACATCTAAGACCAAAGCTTGTGGAGTGCCCTTGAGAGCATCATGTCAAGTCCTCACTGTGTGGCCTTATCTAAGTTCTCCTTTCTGTCGCCAACACTGAAGCTCAGTGTTTTCACTAGGTTGCAGCTCAGCTGATTTCATGCTTGCCTGGTACACGTGATCCTAGGTTCAGTCAGTCCCAATCACTACTAATTTGGTGTGGTTGTTCATGTACCACTTGGGAAGTGGAGGCGGGAAGATCAGGAGTTCATAGTCATCCTTAACCAAATAGGTAGTTTGATGCCAAGACCCCCCATCATCACCAAAGAAGAAGGAGGAGAAGGAGGAGGAGGAAGAAGAAAGGAGGGAAGGAAGGAAGGAAGGAAGGAAGGAAGGAAGGAAGGAAGGAAGGAAGGAAGGAAGGAAGGAAGGAAGGAAAGAAGGAAGGAAGGAAAGGAGAAAGAAAAAGAAATCTTCCAGACCCCTCCTGGAATGCCCAATACAATCATGTCACTTTGAAGCCAGGGCTGATGGCTTCCTTTCACAGCACCTATTCAGCCTCATGCTGTCCTCTGTAGAGATGCACAGATGTTTGTTTTTTGTTCTTTTTTTTTTTTTTTACCTAGCATATCTTTCCACATCTGGATCTAACAAAACCACATGCAAAACAAAAGTAAATGTATGAAAAAATGTTTTCTACAAATAATAAAGTGGTTTTTTTTTTTGTTTGTTTTTTTGGTTTTTTTGCTTTGCTATTGTTGTTGTTTGGTTTTTTGAGACTGGGTTTCTCTGTGTAACAGCCCTGGGCTGCCCTAGAACTCACTCTGTAGACCAGGCTGGCCTCAAACTCACAAAGCTCCAGCTGCCTCTGCCTCCCAAGTGCTGGGATTAAAGGCGTGCACCACCACTGCCTGACAATAAAGTTTTAATCAACTCTTATTTAATATCCTCCAGAAGTCATCTGGGACGTTTTGAAAACGTCAGAAAATCCAGGAGTCATAGCACATGCCTTGAAACCCAGCACTCAAGAGGCAGAGTCAGGTGGATCTCTGTGAGTTCAAGACCAACCTGGTCTACATACTAAGTTCTGGGACAGCCAGAGTAGACCCTGTCTCAAACAAAAAAAAAAGAAAGAAGGAAAGAAACAAAGAGCAACAAGTAAATGAAAGAAAGTCGATAAGAGGCAAAGAAAGACTTTGGGGCTGGTGCGATTGCTCAGCTGGTAAAGGTGCGTGCCCCAAACCTGACAAGCTGATTTCTGTCCCCAGGACCCACAATGTGAAAGGAGAAAACCAACCCTGCAATCTGACAAGTTGTCCTCTGGACTACACACACACACACACACACACACACACACACACACACACACACGCACGCACGCACGCACGCACGCAAGCATATCACACATATACTCACATACTCACACACACCATATACACTACACAGCACACACATGCACATATACACTCACCCCCACACACATACACACACCAAACAATAATAATAATAATAATAATAATAATAGTATGTTTCAAGAAGAGGAGAAGTCCACTGCTGGCAACATGGCACAAGATGCGCTCTAGGGACAAAGGCAAAGTGACGAATGGCCAGTCACCGAGGATGGCAGTTAGACTGACCGCTACTTCCTACCGGCACCAGTGGGTAGCGGAAGACGAGAGATCAGGCCTTCCAAGGTTGCACAGCAAGAAACCGTCAGCCTACAGGTTTCACAGAAAGTCTCTTGTCTTTAAGGAAGACTTCCTGAATGAACACAAGGGTGGGTGATGGACAGATTCTTACTAGAGGGTAACTAAAGGACAGACTTCCAGGGAGAAGAAAACCTGTCTCACAAGGAAAGCATGGGGTGCAGAGAAGAGAAGGCACCTCTCCCGCCCAAACCCAATAAATCTAAACAGTGTCAGCATAAGAATGTTGCAAGGGCACCAGAGTCACAGCAAACACTGATGACAAATGGCTATCAGCAAAAGAATGGATAGTGTGAGACAATCGCATGATGAAATTCCACAAACAACCTGAGCGGCCCGATACCCAGCTCCAACAAACTGCATGAAACCTAGCAACACAGTATCAAGAACTTAACCGATTAAATAAATATAAATACATTCACATGTAGACGATTTACTAACACATTTGTAACCAGTCTTGTATAATAATTTTGCATGTAGTAGAAAACAAATTTTAATTTTAAATATCCATCCAACATACATCAAAATTGATTCAACCATATTTTATTAATCCTAGTAATTAATTAATAGGCATTAAAAATCTAAATCTAAAAAGGAGATTTTTAAGATCATGTTCCCTAATCATTATTTAAAGAGAAGTAATTGATCAAAATATCTAACACTTGGAGACTAAATTGTTAAAAGATCTGTACTGGTATGTCATTGGATATTTGGTGAAATTTAAAGTTGATTCTTGTCTTGGGTTTTTTTTTTTTGTAATTAGCATTATAAAGTAGAAACTTCCTCACCATGATAAGAACATTTATTAGAAATTAATAATAAGCAATTTCAGTTTCTGCTGTCCACCACGAGTGAGCAGGCCCACGTTAGCCTTGCTCTCCCACTGGTTAGAACTACAAACACTGGAAAACACTTGTTCACCCCTTTCTCAGTGACTGACAGATACACAGACGGAGATCAGTGAGGAAACAGAAGCCTTGAATAATGCTATCAACTCTCTCGATCTAATTTACAAAACCTGAACTGGATTAGCCCCTGAAAGATGAATAAGAACAGGCAGATTGGAAACTGAAGCCAAAATTCAGAAAACCAATCCATTGAGTAAGCAATCCAGATTTTGTTTTTTCTCTTTTATCTCCCAGCTTTGACCTACACACGACCCCGAGCAAAACTGTGCACCGGACACAGGCAACAGAACCGCTGGGTGAAATCCCGTCTCCCCGGAGCAGTGGGAAAACGGGACCCTGTGAGTCAGACAGCGTGAGTGGGTCCTTCTTCTTTGTTCTCTCCACACCCTGTCTGGTGACTGGCAGAGCTGCAGAGGGGAAGCGGTCCAGCCGGAACACGAAGATATGGGACTTGGTGGGTCGGGTAAGGAGGACATCTCTGCTGCTGTCGAGAGCTTGTCTTGTTATTTTAGCTTGTGTCTGCAATGCTGGGATCAACCGCCAGGGCCTTGTACAAACCTTGTAAGGCCACCGCCGCCGGACCACAGCCTGGTACCTCCCTGTGGTTGTTTTCTGGCTCTTTTTTTATCCGCTTTATCACCCTGACAACTGTGCTATGTATCAATGCAGACAGCTTAAAGGACCTTCGAAGGGATCCTTCAGAGGCAACAAGCGAAGGACTCCCCCAGCTCTGGGTTCGAGCCAACACAAACCCCACCATCTCCCTAAGGGAGACACTCACGTGCACAAACTCACATACAGACATGTACATATACATATAACTAAAAATTAAAAATACAGTGTGGGAGGGAGGTTAAAAGACAACTTGCGGTGCTAAAGAGATGACTCAGCAGTTAAAAACACTGGTTGCTCTTCCAGAATACCTGGGTTCGATCTGCAGTACCCACATGGCAGCTCACAACCATCTGAATTCCAGTTCCAGGGAATCTAACACCTTCTTCTGGCCTTTGCTGGTACCGAGCACGCACATGGTGCCCAGACATGCATACAGACAAAACATCCATACTCCCAAAATTTAATTAAATTAAAAAAAAAAAAAAAAAGACAACTTGTGGGAATCTGTTTTTCCTTATACCATGTGGGTCCCAGGGTTTGAACATGGGTCATCAGCCTTAGTGGCAGTAACTAGACCTGCTAAGTCATCCACATATTATGTGGTTGTAGAGACAGGACACTCTAGAGAAGGAAAAATGATGGGGATAGAAGACAGACCAGCGGCTGCCAGCAGCTGAGGGTACAGGAAGGGGCTGGCCCTAGAAAGGCAGCCCAGGGAATTGGGGGTGGGGGATGGTCATGGACATGCCTTCATGGTTGTGGTGATTACTATTGTGACCAAACCTTTATATAGAATTCATATAACTATATGTTAAAAAGGTGAATTCGCTACATGTATATTAACTTTGCTTGTTTGTTTGTTTTTCGAGACAGGGTTTCTCTGTATAGCCCTGGCTGTCCTAGATCTCGCTCTGTAGACCAGACTGGCCTCAAACTCACAGAGATCCACCTTCCTCTGCCTCCCAAGTGCTGGGATTAAAGGCTTGTGCCACCTGCTTTTACTTTTTATTTAAAAAAGAAAATTATAGCATAGTATAACCTTACAATGTAAGATCAAGAAGCCATTAAAATTTTACTTATTAAAGGGATATAACAGGAAATTCTGTAACAAAACATTAAATGAAAAAAACACAAATTGGTAAATATAGTATGGACATAATTATACATATATTGTCTATAATAAATACATATATATAACATATATTCTATACCATATAATACACATATGTTATATAACATAGCATACATATATTAATATAATGTTTTTTAAAAAGCTGCTTTCAGAAGGTAGACAAATCATAAATTATACCCAAATGATAATAGAAGGTGCTATTGGCTGAAACTTAACACATTTTTTTTTTTTTGCTTTGCCTTTTCTTTTTGTTTTTGTTTTGTTTTTCAAGACAGGGTTTCTCTGTGTGCCTTTGCACCTTTCCTGGAACTCACTTGGTAGTCCAGGCTGGCCTCGAACTCACAGAGATCCGCCTGGCTCTGCCTCCCGAGTGCTGGGATTAAAGGCGTGCGCCACCACCGCC